CAGCACACGGAACTCTTACTTTCTTACCATAGTTACACTTGTCAGAAGCTTGAAACCATTTGTAGGATAATCCATACTGTAACCCTTAGTGATACTTAATTCATTTAAGAGGGAGAAAAGATGGTTTACATCAACTTTTGTGTTTCCTAAAAATACAGACAAAAACCTTATTTTCTTTGGTATATCTGAAAATCCGTGGTGAATAAAATCACGTTTTTTATTTGCAAATCCTACTTCGCATGCTTTCCCAAGAGGAGGAGGAGGAGCTGTTTTGTGATTTCACTAAATAAGTTTTGTACGTAGGTAGTGAATACTTCCAAGCCATGTTTAGGTTTTAGCTAACCATAGAAATCATGAATGATTTTAATACTGAAGAGTTGGCAAGTAGTAAATCCCTTATGACTCTGCTGACAGGCATAAGGAAACAGTCACCAGTAGAGCTAAAAAAAAGAAAGGCCATAGTCATCCACAGAGAAGAATGATGACAGACCAGCCAAAAGTGCCACCCAATCAGAGCATCTGTTGCTTTCCCCAACCGTCAAAACTGGGAATGTAGAAGACTTCATTTCTGGTTAAAACCCTGTATGCAGCAGTATTTGTATGAGTTTAGCTTACATTTAAACATGCACATTGGTAAATATATTAGACTTTATGACTTTATCTATTAGAGTATGATAGAACAATAGTACCGCCTTTACATTTTGTAGTTAAAATCTACATTTGTAATGGATAGCTGCTAGCAAAGGGAAACTTCGAGTCCTTTAAAGATGTAAACCCTGGTAGGTTGAACATGCTGCGCTGGATGGCCACACACCACCGAGAATGCAGGCAGCATTAGTGAGACTCGGGCTTAAAGAGGCTAAGCAGTGAGTCAGGTCTCACTGTGTAGCCTAGGCTATCCAGTAACCCGGGATCTTTCTTCCTTTTCTGAATTGAATTCTTCCTTCTGAATTGCTGGGGTTACAATCATGCACCGTCTGCCTTAGCTCATTCCTTGACTATATTAACTAATTCTTGATAATAAAACTCTAACCCTATACTGCATTTTTAAAGTCCTAGATGAGGTTGGCAATGCATATCCAACTTTAGAGTAAAAGCCTTGTTGTTCTTGCAAAGAACCCAGGTTCACTTCCTAGCACCCACACTGTGACTCATGGCCATCAGTGGTGGTCGTTCCCAGGGGTCCTCCCTCCTCTTCTAACCTTTGCAGGCACCATGTGGTTCTTGTATATGCTTCAAACCCCCATACAAATAAAAAAATTAAAAATACACATAAATAAGAGAATCTTTTAAAAACAAATTGAGTGCATTGTAACCTGCACAAAAATAATTTATGAATTTTGTGAACTACACTGTAGTTCTGTGTTAATAAGTAGAAATTGACCTAGAGTACACTATAGAAGTTTCTGTCAGTTTTTATCTTCTACCTGTACAGCCAACAGGCATTTAATTACGTTATTTGTTCACTAGCTCTCCTTGGGGTCTTTAGTTAGTACAGAAGCAGCAACAACATGCATGCAGTAACTAATTAATACACTCGCTTGACTGGGAGAATTTCTGCTATTTGACTTCATATCTCCTGTATCTCAGGCTGGACTTGAACTGGAGAAGTAGCCAGTGATGAAATTGAACATCTGATCTTCTTATTTCCACCTCCTGAGTGCCTAGTTTATAGGCATATACCACCACACCAAATTTATGCTATGCTAGGGTTGGAACACAAAGATTTGTCCTAGCGAAAAATAGAGAAAGAGTGTAAAAAAAGAGATACCTGAATAGAGGGAGCCATTATAGGTTTAAAGAGATATCTGGCACTAGGGAAATGTCCAGGGATCTACAAGGATGACCCCAGCAAAGAATCTAAGCAACAGTGTTGAGGTTAACTTGAATGCCCTTCCTCGGTAATGAGATTGATGACTACCTTAAATTGTTATGTCCTCTTTTTCGCCATCTACCTGGGTCCCTTCACCACTTCAGCCCCCAAATAACACACAAGACACTTTATTAATTATAAATCTGTTTGTCGGTGACTAGGATTTCTTATTAGCTAACTCTGTCTTAAATATTAATCTATAACTACTAATATTTCTACTTGGTCTTATCTTACCGAGAACACCAGACTCATGTGTCCTCTCCTCCTGGGATCATATGGCAACTTCTCTCTTACTACACTTCCCAGAGTCCTCCTTGCCTCCTAGTCCCACCTGTCTTGCTTCTCTATTGGCCAACAGTGTTTTATTCATCAACCAGTAAGAGAAACATGCACAGAAGACTTCCCCATCATCTCCTCTTTTCTGTCTAAATAAAAAGAAAGGTCTTAACTTTAACATAGTCAAATTATATGTAACAAAACAGTTATTAAGCAAGAATTAAAATTACAGTATTTAATCCAATAACATTTAGCAAGATTTTAAAAAAATATTTTATCTATCCTATCTTTGTGAGTTTAAAGTCTTATATGTAACTTATCTTTTGTCATAACTAAGGAAAACTATAACCATGATTATCTGTCTTCAACTCCATCAAAGACCACAGAAGGATAAAATATAAACTCTAGAAATGACAGCGACAACTTGCTGCCTCTTCAGTCACCTGAAGTTCTTCCGTAATGTTCCATCTTCAGCCCATAGGCCATAGTGTGTCTGGCAGACTCCTCAGTAAAGCAGGAAACTTTAAACTGTCCACCCTTACTGGCAGTTTGTCAGTCACTTTTCTCTGTGTCCTGTAGGACTTCTGGCAGATTCTTCCATGAAGCAGGAACCCTGTAGCAATGTCCATCTAGCTTTAATAGTCTCTTTCCTATGAGTCCTGCATGTCCAGTTCATACATCAACAGTCTAACAGTTCAGACAAGAGCAGTTTCTTGCCCAAATGACTAGTCTTGCCATATTGGAAGCAAACTCCATAATGAGTTTCTTTGATGTCTATATTCCCCTTTGACACAGTTGGTGTTGCCAGGAGCAGTTGTGTCTCACTGTCAAGAAAAACCCTAAATCGTTTTAAATTCCATATTCTGTGGATCTTTGAGAGTTTTCGACAATGTCTATCTAATTGAAATATATCTCTATATATCTAGAAAACATAACTACCCTAACTATAAGAGGCTGCCTTAAATGTCCTTCCTCTGTAATGAGGTTGATGACTACCTTAAATGCCATCCTAGAGCCTTCACCCAGTAGCTGATGAAAGCAGAAGCAGAGATTCACAGCTAAGCACTGAGCTGCACTCCTGGAATCCAGTTGTAGAGAGGGAGGAGTGATGAGCAAAGGGGTCAAGACCATGCTGGGGAAACCACAGAAACAGCTGAGCTGAGCTAGTGGGAGTGCATAGACCCCAGTCTGAGAGCTGGGAACCAGCATAGGTCCAAACCAGGCCCCCTGAACGTTGGGAGACCAGGGCAGTCTATGGGACCTCTGGCAGTGGAACCAGTATTTATCCCTAGTGCAGGAATGGACTTTGGGAAGCCATTTCCTATGGAGGGTTACTATCTCAGCCTAGACACATGGGGGAGGGTCTAGGTCCTGCCCCAAATGATGTGACAGGCCTCACCCTCCTTGGAGAGTGGATGGGGGTTGGCATGGAGGATTGGTGGGGGGCATGGGAGGACAGGAGGGAGAGGGAACTGGGATCGATATGTAAAATAAGATTGTTTTTAATTTAAATTAAATTTTAAAAAAATACTGAAAAAATAAGATTTGTCCAGGAAAAGAAAGCACTGTTAGCAACTGAGCTATTTTGACCTTAGGAAAATTAACCTCCATGCTTTTCCTTACTTGTTTGTGAGCATGTCTCTGAAGCTGTTGTGAAGATGAATTGAGTTAATATGCATAAAATCCTTGTCCCACTCTTTGTAACGTAGTCTGCACTCAATAACTGACCAGATACTGTTCTGGCTGTGGTATTACTATTTTCGTGGAACTTTTGGCAGTTAATGTAACCTCACATCACAAACTTCCTGATCTCTAAGCATCATCAATTGTTACTGTAATATTGAATATTTACATTATTATTATCTCATGTTTTAAGTGCTCTCAGAGGAATTGGCAACAAGTGATGTTGATTCTAGAGGTGTTATTGCTGACAATGCTGTAAAATGCAGTAGTTAAGAACATTGACTTTTTTTTTTTTGATATCACCAAGCCCCCACCCCTTCTGTTTTTAGGCAGTGCTTCAGCAAGTAACTGAAGACGGCTCAAAATATGGGTTAAAAAGTGAGCTTTTCTCGGGTCTTCCCCAGAAGAGGATTGTGGTAGAATTCAGGTGAGTGACTATTCCTCTTATGTGCTGATTAATCCAGCTGCCAAGACAGAGAGGACCACACCAGTGACTGGATTTTCATTATATTACACAATGGAAGTAAGGTATCCAATTGTAATCTCATCGTAGCTACTTTGGTTACTAAAGGATTTGAGTTTGTCTTTTCTGTTTCATCGGATTCCCTTCTTAGTAGGAGCATGGTTCAGGAAAATGTCAGATTAATGATTTCAAGGAACATTTTGTCAGATTGTCAGTTCTGTCAGTAAACACCGTTTCCTGCTGGGCCATCTCCCCTGAACTTTTATCTTCCTGCTCTTTTTTTTTTTTTTTGGTTTTTTCGAGACAGGGTTTCTCTGTGGCTTTGGAGGCTGTCCTGGTACTCGCTCTGTAGACCAGGCTGGCCTCGAACTCACAGAGATCCGCCTGCCTCTGCCTCTCAAGTGCTGGGATTAAAGGCGTGTGCCACCAACGCCCGGCATCTTCCTGCTCTTAAAATAATTTGTTTCATAAGTGTGCCATTTCTGAGTATCACACTAGCTTATGGATCACAGGATCAATCATTATTGGTCAATGATAAGTGAGTCCAAATTCTAACTTATCCTTGCAGTTACTTTGATGTCTAATTTACATTTTTCCTGACTTGTCAAAACCCTGCTCCCTAATTATGTCAACTGAGAAAGTCATTATCTAGCCCATGTTCAAAAATTTTATTATTGGAATAAAATATTCTTGCACTTCTTGCAGTTCACCTAATGTTGCAAAAAAATTTCATGTTGGACATTTGCGCTCCACCATCATAGGTAAGTATTCCCTTTAACAGAAAATACTAAATATATCTAAGGGCATGTATATGATAATGCAGTGTAATGGCTCAGAGTTTAAATGAAAAGGAAAGAAAAGAAAGCTCCCCAAAATGTACATTTACATGAGCATAATGCTAAGTAAATGTTATTGAATAATTGTACAGGTTTAAAAACAAAATTTATTTCAAAAGGTAAAGACTCTGAAATCAGTTTTCATTAGTATGTATGTTTTAATTTTAACTGTTATGCATACAGAAAACTGAAAGAGGCAAATAAAAAATAGTCAAATTATTGACAGAAATCTTTCAGATTTTTTTGTTCCTATATTTCTTTGTTTTAGATACATTTGTTCTCAGTAGTTAACTATAATTTTCAAACCTGGAAACTAAAATTTCTAATAGGAATTATTTACTTTAGGAATACTAAAACTTTTCATAGTTGTAAAGCTTCAGTGTATAATAAGTTTTTTTAAGTGTGTGTGTGTGTGTGTGTGTGTGTGTAAGCTGCCTACAGGGTCCAGACACTGGTATCAGATCCCCTGGAGTAGGAGTTATAGGTCATAACTACCCAACATGGGTGTGGAGAACTGAACTCTAGTGCTCTCAAGAGCAGCCAGCATAGCAAATATTCTTAACCACTGAGCCATTTCAAGTTCTGCCCTGCATTTATTTAAAATAGTTGGCAGTTCTTCAATTCCAAACTCAACTTAAAAATTGGACAAATTAGTACGAGTGACAAATTATTATTGAAATAAGAAAGAAAGCTTTGATTGTTACAAAGTCCTTGAACCCTTTAATCCCAGCACTTGGGAGGCAGAGGCAGGTGGATCTCTGTGAGTTCGAGGCCAACCTGGTCTACAGAGCAGGTTCCAGGAGAGCCTCCAAAACAATACAGAAAAACCCTGTCTCAAAAAACCAAAAAAAAAACAAAAAACAAAAAACAAAAACAAAGTCCTTGAGCAGTATTTCTTTTTTTTTTTTAAGATTTATTTATTATGTAGCTTTTTTTGCCTGCATGTATGTTTGTAACCAGAAGAGGGCACCAGATCTCATTACGGATGGTTGTGAGCCACCATTTGGTTGCTGGGAATTGAACTCAGAACCTCTGGAGGAGCAGCCAGCGCTCTTAACCTCTGAGCCATCTCTCCAGCCCCTTGAGCAGTATTTCATAGGAAGAAATGACAGGGCTTAACCAAAAGTGTCTAAGAAATAAATACATCATATAATGAAGTCTACATTGAGTTGAGTCAAAAATGTAAGAGAAATGGATAAGTAGGACATAATAAAGTAATCACTCTATCCAGAAAGTGATTTTGATGAGGAAGAGAGAATATTTATTGAAATTTAGTGAACTAAGTGTTTATATGTGTTATCTCATTGGTCTGTGCAGTCCAGAGTCCAGAAAATATTCAATAGCCATAGTTTTGGTTTTGAATGAGTGTGTTTGTTTATTAAGTATATAGCAAGTAAAAGAATAAGCAGTAAGGCAGAGAAAAGACAAAGTGAGTACAGAGATGGAGAGAGAAAGCATAAAATCAAAATATGGTCAAATCAGGTGCTAAACGCATTCAGCAGAAACCAACCAGGAAACCCTTTTGAGACAGCTGACTAGTAGAGTTCCCACCTGAGAGAGTCTCCTCAAGTGAGAGTTCCAAGTGTAGCAGCAAACAGCGCCAGCCAGAGGTCACATCGAAGCCGACTTCAGCTGAACCAGTGTGGGAGATTGAAGCAGTCAGCTGAGTTTCCTATAGCTGAACCTCCAGCTTCTCCTCCCGATTCTAAGTGCCTTTGTGTCACAGGATAACTCTCTGCTGGAAATGATTTATCTTCCTGATCTTTGCAAGGATCTTTGCCACTCTTTCCTCCATGTTACAGAGTTAGGCGGACCAACCCATTCTCAATCAAAAGGCCAACATGCTTGGGTCTGAAGTGGGGATGGAGACAGCTCAGTGAGTTTGAATAGCATGGGACAATTTACTAATATAGTGTTTATTTTTCCATTCAGTGTCACAACAGCCCTGCTATTAACTAAGATTTTTTTGTTTGTTTGGTTTGGTTTTTTCTGAGACAGGCTGTCCTAGAACTAGCTTTTATAGACCAGGCTGGTCTCAAACTCACAGAGATCCACCTGCTCTGCCTCCTGAGTGCTGGGATTAAATGCATGCGCCACCAACGCCTGGCTTAACTAAGATTTATGAGGAAGAAATTCAGACATAGAAGTAACTTTCCCAAGATCACCCGGATAAAGTATTTGTGGCTGGGACCTGAAGTAGTCCAATTCCGAGCCATCCACATATGTTCAGGTGTACTTGTGAGCTGACAGTGTACTAAGAAAAACAGATACACAATGTTAGTAACAGCTGAAAAAAGTAACTGTTCCTGCTGGGACTATATAGATTTGGAAAGTGTGGAAATAGAAATGCTTGCAAAGAAGGAATATGCTATAATTCAAGTTAGGCTTTTTGAAAATCTTACTGACTTGTTACAGGATCTTATTTGTAGCCCAAGTTGACCTAGAACTAGTATTATAGCCCAGACTACACTTGAACTTTTAGCAGTCCTCTGTTATATCCCATACTACACTTGAACTTTTAGGGGTCCTCTGTTATATCCCGTACTACACTTGAACTTTTAGCGGTCCTCTGTTATAGCCCAGACTACACTTGAACTTTTAGCGGTCCTCTGTTATAGCCCAGACTACACTTGGACTTTTAGCGGTCCTCTGTTATAGCCCAGACTACACTTGAACTTTTAGCGGTCCTCTGTTATAGCCCAGACTACACTTGAACTTTAGCAGTCCTCTTGCCTCAGACTCCCATGTGCTAGGATTACAGCTGTTTGCCAGAAAGTCACTACATTTAAATCAGGAAATGATTTCTTATAGAATATAGAATGGTTTGCAGAGTTACTGGAAGAACTAGAGGCATTTTTAATTAAGCTGACATGAACAAGTCCCAAAAGATTCCCGTGGCGTTTGGGACTCCCAGATCCAAGGGAGGCTCTGCCTCCTCCACCATTGCTGTAGTACCACTGCCATAATCTACAACCTGCCACTATTTATGTCATGTCTTCTGCAGTCCACTGTAGGCAAAGAGGTCGCACACTAGCCTGTCTTTCAGTTTGTTTTGGAAGTTGTGACATGGTATAGAATCTGTATTAACAGGTGTCACCAAAGAGAGGGAGGAGAAAACAAATGGCCCAAAGTTTTGTGACTGCTTGTTGTGGGAAATGGGGGAACAAACCAGAAGTAACTCCTTTGCCAGATCTCATGCAAACTGTCAAAACCTAGAAAATTTCTGGAACCTCCAACTACTAGACACTGGGAAATGGGGAAGTAGATAATTCAGGTTTCCATATGAGGCAGTTGGAAGGGTGAGTAAAGCAGGTGCTGAGCATCGGACTTGCGCTGGCAGAACATGAAAGGAAGGGCTGTGGAGCAGAGTGTGCTCTTGGGAAACAGGCTTGTGGAGGTTGCGCTTCAGTGCTTGACAGGAGCTTATGTGAGCTAGTTAGGAAAATAGAACAGTGCATGGCTCATTAAGACACAACCAAATTATGTATTTTTCTTTAGGGTGTAATATACACATAAGAGTACACTGCCAGGCTGGGTGTTAGTGGCACACGCCTTTAATCCTAGCACTTGGGAGGCAGTGGCAGGTGGAGCTCTGAGTTCGAGGCGAGCTTGGTCTACAGAGCAAGTGCCAGAGTAGGCTCCAAAGCTGCACAGAGAACCCCTATCTCAAAAAACAAAAACAAAAAATGTGTACATGCCTACAGAGGCTGAGGTGTGTGTGTGTGTGTGTGTGTGTGTGTGTGTGTGTGTGTGTGTGTGTGTGTGTGTGTACATGAGTATGTGAGTGCAGGTGCCTGTGGAGCTGGAGTTGCAGGTAGTAGTGAATTGCCTGATATAGGTACTTGGACCCAACTTTGGTCCTCTGGAAGGCAGCACTGGGCCATTTCTCTAGCCCCCTAAATGCTATATTCCTTGGAATTAGCTAAGAGTAGTGGTTATTCAAACACGTGTTTCTAATTGCCAGTAATGATGCTTATGGCAAGTCTCTTCATGAAAATTATGGGAATCCTTGGAACAATATCTCACTAAGCAATTCCTTACTTCTCATACAAGCAAACACATCACGAATGCTTTAGTACAAAAGATTGAGTTGGTATGTTTTGTTAAAAGGGTTTTCTATATTATAACTTGATAATAAAGACGTACCAAGTTTTAAAGCCAAAAGGATTTATAAGATGATATTTATTTACAACTAGGAAATTTTATAGCAAACCTAAAAGAAGCTTTAGGACATCAAGTAACAAGAATAAATTACATTGGAGATTGGGGCATGCAGTTTGGTAAGTATGTCTGACATGCTTTCCATTTTACTATATGGCTCAATTGTTTTAAGTACTATATCACTTGATCATCTGTGGAATGCAGACAAGCTCTATGTCAGATAAAATAATATAATGTATCTGTGATGCTAGGAATTGAACCTGGGGTCTCCTGTATACCTGGTACATGAACTACCACTGAGCTATATCTGCCTATAAAGATACATATTCTATATAATTCTCACCATATAAATGGACGTATTCAGAGCAATATCTACTAAATTAGTACACTTCACACACACATTAAGCCTTTAGTAATAGAGAGTAACTTTATTGGTTAAATGTAGACATACATATACAGAGAAATAAGTCTGTCTAGCTATGTATTCCTATTTTGGCCAAAACCTGCCATTTTTAAATCTATGAGAAATGGAACTATTATTATATGACCAAGTAGCCCAGCCAGAGGTAAAACAAAGCAGGATACTTTGGCTTTCTCTTGAACTCTTCGGTGGAAAAGGGTGAAACCCAAACAGTTACATGCTGTAAATCTTGTCTAAGGTCATTTAGAAACATTGTGGTTCATATAACCCAGTAACCTAGGTATGTGGAAGGCAAGACAGGTGAAGGATGTCCCTACTTGTGAGGGATGATTGCACACTGAATACAATCTTGTAATGTTTTTAAGATCTGACTGTACTGCTACATCCTCTGACAGAAAGATGCAGGCTTTGCATATCAGCAATTTCCTAGAAGGCGGCTCACTGTTTTGTCGTAATACTCTTTTGTGTGTGTGTTCTTTCTCCCATAAGATGCTAATTCCTCAAAGGTGTAGACTATGCCGTAAATATTTTTGTATCCTCAATGTGTGTCAACATTCCATTATAACCATCACTGTAGAATAATTAAGTTTTTTCTTTCAGCTATCTCTTTTGAAAGTTAGCATGTGGCTTCTGTGTATAGAATTAGTTTTCAGTATGTATCAGACTAAATGTTAAATAGAATAGTTTTTACTTTTCCCATCTTCTTTTTAGTATACACTGGGCATCTCTCCACATTCTGCCCCCAATACCCTGAATCATAATCACCTTTCTTTTTCTTTTAAGATAAACAGAACCTTAATCATCTTTCTCAGTGCTCTCTAGGATCTAAAACTCATGTTAGGGGCGGGCGGTGTGCAGCAAGGACATGACATTGCTGGTCTTGTTTGTGCAGTCAGGGGCAGGGTACAGAGAGGAAGTAGAGCAGACTATAAAACTGCAAGGACTACCCTCAACTTCCTTTAGCAAGGCTCTACCTCCTAAAGATTCCACCAGCTTGGGAAAGGGCACCACAGCTGGGGACCACACGGTCTACAGGAGCTTATAGGAAACATTCCACGCTTAACCCTCGAATGGGAGAGTAATTGTAGATGCTTCGGTTTTATCTATCTGTTTGTTGTTTTTCAGTTATTTCAAAACAAGTATAGCATGACATATTCTTACCAATACTTACACGTTCAAAAACAAAGTTTAAAATCATCTCTTGTCAGTGTTTTTTGAGTGTATCAATATAATTTTGAATATCTACTGCCTCACAAAGTAACTGCTCGATAAATGTTTGTTTTCTTATTGTCTGCCAAAAAGTTACTGGGTGCAAAGATAAAATGGTCCTAGACCTTTTGTTAGATGAATTCACACTCCCTTAAACTCCATTATACTTTGGAATATGTGATTCAGAGTGTTTTCTCAAATGTGTCATTTTATAAGATACGCCTTATATATAACAGTAATCCTCAGGGTTTATAATTGAGAAGTTCATCTTTTTATAGAATTATACCTGTTTCTCACCATGACTGTTCTATTATTTTATTGTATAATTTTTTCTCTGCTCATTACCTTGACAGGTCTGCTGGGAACTGGTTTCCAGTTGTTTGGCTATGAAGAAAAACTCCAGTCCAATCCTTTACAGCATCTCTTTGAGGTAAGGTGGTAAGACAACATAAGAAAATGCTTTAACATGTTTTCCAGCATGCTCTACAAATGTGTTTAAAGGCTATCTTTTGAATTAGCAATGGTCCAAGAACTGATTGATTTCAGTTCCAAGTCCAAGTGTTTTTTGTTTTGTTTTGTTTTTTAATTCTGTTTTACTGGATTTTAGGCAATATTTCCCCAGATGTAGAGAATCATCTTAGAGGCAGCACATATAGGATCTGGACAGGCAGCATATATTGATAATCCTAGCCTTCAGGGGGCCAGCCTGTGCGACAGTCTCACACAGGGTAGTGACTAAGAAAGACACTGACAGAACTTTCTCTATGATCTGACAGTTTATATATTTCATCTCACTTCCTGTTATTTACATAGCATTATGGTTCAGTAAGACTTGTCAATTTTTAGAGTATGCTTTTTTTTTGTCCTTTATGTTCTTGTCAGACAAGAAACCCACTGTATAAATTTTACTCTGAATTTCATTTTTTTCATTAGGTCATTCATTTCTTCTCCCTGAGGTTTGCCCAATGTGAATGCCCTGTTTTCTTCATTTTGTCATTTGGATAGTTTTATTCTCTATCTCCCAGCTTTCTTTTCCTCCCCAAGTAATCTCCAGAGATGACTTTCATTTTCATTGTCTGATTAGTTTTCTCTGTCAGACATGCTAGTGACATACAGGGGACCATACTACAGATGGCCTGTCTCTGTAAAGAAGAATACTCACCAAAATAATGTTCTACATGCCTAATCAAAGAAGTCAGAGCGGGCGTTCGTCATTTCCCTTTTCCTCTTGGTTTTTCCCTTGAAAGTAGCTATGGAGTAAAGTTGCATTCTCTATTTTTTGTAGAGCTTATGCCTGCACCACACTTACTTTCTTCTTTTTATGTGTATTATTTTTAGTTCTGTGTATATGTGTGTGGATATGTCCACAGGAGTGCAGGTGCCCTCAGAGGCATCAGACTCCTTGTAAGCTAGAGTTGTTACTCATGTGGGTGCTAGGAACTGAACACAGGGCCTCTGGTGGAGCAGAGATGCTTTGAACCACATAATGTGTATACACAAGATGTGTGTGACTCAAAGTGAGAATTTCAGACCATTATGGATATATTTGTCTATTCCTGTGATCTGGAGGGAAAAGTAGATCATTTAAACCTCTATTTAGCAGTATTTCTTCATATATATCTGCCTACTTTTGAGTTTTGGGACTAACATTGTAACCCCCCACCGTTTGCCATGATGTTTTAATACTGTAAAAGTTATGAAGCCTCATTGTTTTGTAGGTTTTTTACTAATTTTTATAGCCTTTATATTACTTCAGTTTAATAATCTTCCGGTGTCATTCATATTTCAATCTGGAAGTGAGTTACAGTTTCTAGGTAAAGTCTGTCTAGTCTATATATATAACTTCAATCCTAATTGAACTATACTCTTAATATTTTATTATCATGTATTAATAGTATATTGTGGATATTGAAAACTGATTAAAGACTGCATTAGAAGTGAGCCCTTCGCTGGACATTGGTGGCGAATGCCTTTAATCCCAGCACTAGGGAAGGCAGGGGCAGGCACTCGGAGGCAGAGGCAGGCGGATCTCTGTGAGTTGGAGGCCAGCCTGCTCTACAGAGTGAGTTCCAGGACAGCCTCCAAAACAATACAGAGAAACCCTGTCTCGAAAAACCAAAAAGAAAAAAGAAAAAAAAGTGAGCCCTTAGTAAATCACTAACCCCATACCTTTCCAGTTTAATACAGACCTAAACCAGCCAAATTGGACAGTGAAATGCCTGTCCCGAATCATGCTTAAGCACCAAGGTGGAGTGTGGTTAAGCTTTCTAAACTTACTCTGTTTGCAGTAGTCACCTGTTTTGCTAGTCTGTGATAGATTAAGAGAATAGTCTTTCATTTTTTCATTATAAATGGCTCCTGGAAAGGATGGGCTGGGGAGTAGTCAGGTGTAGCTGAAAAGGATGGGCTGGGGAGTGGTCAGGTGTAGCTGAAAAGGATGGGCTGGGGAGTGGTCAGGTGTAGTGAAAAGGATGGGCTGGGAGTAGTCAGGTGTAGTGAAAAGGATGGGCAGGGAGTGGTCAGGTGTAGCTGAAAAGGATGGGCTGGGGAGTGGTCAGGTGTAGTGAAAAGGATGGGCTGGGGAGTGGTCAGGTGTAGTGGAAAGGATGGGCGGGGAGTGGTCAGGTGTAGTGAAGGAAAGGATGGGCGGGGAGTGGTCAGGTGTAGTGAAGGAAAGGATGGGCGGGGAGTGGTCAGGTGTAGTGAAGGAAAGGATGGGCGGGGAGTGGTCAGGTGTAGTGAAGGAAAGGATGGGCGGGGAGTGGTCAGGTGTAGTGAAGGAAAGGCTCAGAGTCCCCGCCCCTCTCTGCTAGCTATTTGCTGATAGATTCAGGGATCAGGGAGTCATCGCCCTCTGTTGTGTGCCTGCTGTTGACCACTGGAGCTTGGTAATCCAATCCAGTGGTCACACAGATGGCCGAGTTTAAACTAAACACGTCACAAAAGCATGACTCTAGCAAAGGGATAAACTAGATAGCATTGGAGGTTGAGAATGGGGAGAGGGATGAGAGGGGAAGCGTAACTGGAATGTGTGTGACATATGAAACTGTCAAAGAACAAACAGTAAGACATACTTTTTAAATATCTCTTAAATCTTCTGTTTATCCTTTATTTGCTGTTTTACTTTGATTGGCCTTTCTCAATGAATTTTCAAAAGGTTACATTGCCATTTTAACAAAGACACCAAAGAAGAAAAGGAAGTCACTTTGCTATGTGGCTGCTCAGTTAACTTTCCATGGGGACTCACAGGATTGTGTATGGAGGTAACAGTGTATAATGACGTATTTAATGTACTTTTAGGTTTATGTACAAGTTAATAAAGAAGCTACAGATGATAAAAATATTGCAAAATTGGCACACGAATTCTTCTGCCGCCTAGAACTGGGTGACACGCAGGCCCTTTCGCTGTGGCAGAGATTTCGGGACTTGAGCATTGAAGAGTACATTCAGATTTACAAGGTAACCCAGAATCTCTGTGTTCCCTGTGCTGTGAACTGCCTGCTGCTTAAGCTCTTCTTTAAGAGTAGAGCGTTAGTTTAGTTGAAAATTCAGTCAAATGGTGTTCTTTGCGGAGAGACCTAAAATACAGAATAACTCAAAGCAGTGCTAGGTTAACACTGCTCTAGTCCTTACTCTCTTGAGAAACATAATTTGTGAGATAGTATCAGATGGTGGTAAAGGAGATTCTGTAGTGGGAGTCAGTGAGCAAGGCGAAGAGCTTATGAAGGGAGAGCTAAGAGGGCTAGATTGGAGCATGATGGGTGCCTTTTCCCAGGGCTGCACAGGGCGGTGCAGACTGCTGGTCTTACAAGGAACTGTCACAGTAAATGTCCAGTGCCCTCTAGATTCTAAAGCCATGGCTGCAGCATGTGGCTGCATGGCAAACTGCAGGTACACACTGAGGACGTGGCCAGCGGTGCTTTGAGTCATTAGGAAGTGGAAGCTCTATTTTCCCATCTTCGTGGTGGGTGGTAAGACATCTTTAATTTTGACTTCATGTGAAAAGTAACCAGCATTTTCCCCATATTTATGAATCTTCTTAGCGCCTTGGAATACACTTTGATGAATATTCAGGAGAATCATTTTATCGTGAAAAATCTCGAGACGTCTTAAAGTTGCTGGACAGCAAAGGACTTCTACAGGAAACAGCGTACGATCGAGTTACTATTCTTTCTTTTCTTTCTTGAAGATTGTGACTCCCTGTGTAGTCATGGCTAGCCTAGACCTGTACAGGAAGCTGGCTTGAAATGCAGAGATCCCCTGCCTCTGCCTCTCAAGTGCTGGGATTAAAGGCGTGCGCTGCCACACCCAGCCCAGGTTACTGCGCATTAGTCAGGTTATGTGTGGTTTCTTGCCAGGTGTAGTGGTACAAACCTTTAATCTCAGCACTTGGGAAGCAGAGGTCGGAGGTTATCTGTGAGTTCTGTGATAGACAGGGCCACATAGTGAGACTATGTATTCAAAAAGAAGTACTTTCCCAAACTGTGGGTGGGAAAACTTACCTGTAATTTCTTCATGCAGTAGGCTGAGGCAGGAGATTCTTGACTTCAAGGCTGGTCTGAACTATACATGAAGTAATGAGATGCTTTTTCATATACCATATATCGTTATCATAGCCAAAGTCTTATATTCATAGGAGAAAGGATGGCACCTGTTCATAGGAGGGAACTGAAGTATAAAAATAATGTGGCCTGCCTCTGGTTACATAAATTCGTAATTTGAAAACAGGAAACAGAACATGTTTTTGTGGCTTAACTTCAACTTTTAGGTTTAAAAAAAATAGCTACCAGTTCCAAAAAATATTTAAGTCACCATATGAAAATAAGTATAAAGTCAGAGATGATGGTGGTAGTACATCCCTATTGACATGTGGGTTTCTTTCCATTTTGAGAAAGTTGACAAAGCAAATTTTGCATTTTCTTGTTATTGTATCTCGATGTTTTGATGCATATTCTCACTATGGAATGTCCAAATCAAGCTCATTAGTACACTTAGCTGTGGTGAGAATTAACTATGTGCATATCTCCTCATATAGTTAACTGTGATATGAACATTAAATTATAACTAATTGTTGCCATCTGGTACGATAGATTTCTAGAACATACTTGTTCTTTCCAACTGCAGCTTTATACCTGTTAACTAACATCTCCCCCTCCTACCTGTGGTAACATTCTCCTTCTGAATTCCATTTGTGATGTCATGAAATTTTAGTTTTCTTTTGTGCCTTTCTTACTTCTTTGAGAAAAATGTTCTCCCGGTTCATATGTGTTGTCACAAACGCCATTTCATTTTTTAAGGCCTGAGGAATAGTATTTCACATTATGAGTATGTCACGTCTTTAATATCTATGAGCAGATGGACACTGAGGTTGGTTTCATGTCTTAACTATTGTAGATAATGCTACAATGGGCAAGGCAGTGTGATATCTTTTCAACACAAATATCTTAATTCCTTTGAATACATATCCAGAAATAGAATTGCTGGATTAAAGAGTAATTCTTTATTTTAGTGTTTTTCAAGGACCTCTTTACTACTTTCTGTAATGACTATACTAACTTACATTCCTACTGATGGTACATAAGGATGCCATTTCTCCACATCTTTGTGAATATTTGCTATTCCTTTGTTTTGTTTTGTTTTTTGTTTATTTATTTAAAAGGCATTCTAACTAGCCAGGTGTTGGTGGCTCACGCCTTTAATCCCAGCACTTGGGAGGCAGAGGCAGGCGGATCTCTGTGAGTTCGAGGCCAGCCTGGTCTACAAGAGCAAGTTCCAGGACAGCCTCCAAAGCCACAGAGAAACCCTGTCTCGAAAAACCAAAAAAAAAAAAAAAAAAAAAAAAAAAGGCATTCTAACTCAAATGAGGAGCTATCATTGTAGTTTTAGTTTTCACCACATCAGCTAACTTATTGGTTTTGACGATTGTTGTTTATAGATAGCTTGAACTGATACTACTTACTGTTCCATGAGCAATAAAAATAACTTGTGGTTTGCCAAGAATGCTGTAGATATTCTACCTTCAAAGCAGAATGATTATGTTGATCTAGGGTTTCTCTTTTGTGTTTTCTAGAACAGGAAATGTTGTAGTAGATCTCTCTGAGACGGGTGACCTCTCCTCTATCTGCACTGTGAAGCGAAGTGATGGAACTTCTCTCTATGCAACCAGGTTTGTAGTGTCTGTGAAGGTGAACACTGCAATGGGAGAGGTCATACTCTTTGTCCCAAGGTTAATGCCGGGTAGTCATCTCATCTTCCAAACTGCTTTTTAAAAATCCTAGTTGCAAACTACAAATTGATTTGCATATTTTAAGAATATTTGATGGGTTTTTGTTGCAATTTCTAGAAAGATTTAATATCAGAAGAGCGGGACTCTATATTAAAATTTATTGACTATCATAAGCTATTCACAACAGAGCATATCATTCTGTCTGTGGTCTTTCATAATCATATATTAAGTGTTTTTGTAAATACATATTGCCAGTAAATATACTCTAAAAAATGACCAAGTTAAGGGACAATGGTGACCTTACACATTAAAGACCATTTTACATACATGTAAATGCCAAACCTCATATTGTGAACATTAGGAAGTGGGCTTCTCCACTCTTCACCATGTGGAAGTGAGCACTCATTGTTTATATAGGAGAGTTTCACTTACTAAGCACACACGATTTGTAGAATAAAGCCAATGGGAAGACAAGGCAGAACAATGAAACAGCCATAACTAAACACTTCCGGCGGAAGGTCCCAGTGTCCCCAGACCTGAGTTTTAAGTAGGTTATAAACCAGTATATACATTGGTTTGTTGCCACTGTGGCACTAGGAATTAAATCCAAGAGTATGCGTGTGTTAGACAAGCCCTGTTCTACTCGCTGAGCCAACAGCTTTGCCCAAAGTAAATTTATAACATAATGGCATTTTTGCTATTGAATACCATCATTAAATGACTTGAGACAACCAAGTAATTTTCTTAAAGTCCCTTAGAGAACTCATCTCTTTCTATTTTAGTATTTCTCTTCATCAATTCCTTGCAATTAGGGTAATGAGAGAAAAAAATGGAGTGTCTTAAGAGAGGTGTGTGTATGTGTGTACATATATATTAGAAAATTTCATTGTGGCAACTAATTATTGCTAAGCAAATTAAAGAAACCAAGTCCTGTACCACTGTGCAAAGTTTTCCTGCTAAAATAGAAGTTCCATGTTAGGAAGGTGTGGTGGCGAGTGCCTTTAATTCCAGCACTCAGGAGGCAGATGCAGGAAGTTCTCCTTGAGTTCAAGAACCACCTTGCCTACACAGAGAGTTATAGTTCAACCATTGCTACTTAGTGAGGTCCTGGCTTAAAATGAAAGAATAAATATTTTTTTTACTCAAGTGTGAATACATATACCATGCAGTGCCCAGATCATAAGATGGACAAAAGTGATACTTTGATCATTTATAACACTTCAAAGGATGTTAAAAAAAAATGTGTAAGTCTTCTCAGTATTTTAACTTCAATATTTTAATAACCTTTGATGTTGCTTTTTAGTGTGTGTGTGTGTGTGTGTGTGTGTGTGTGTGTGTGTATCTGTTTGTGGGAATGTGTACATGTGAGTTCAGGTCCCTGGGGTGTAGAAGAGTTTGTAGGAAGTTTTAATCCACTTTTATGTGTCAGGAACTGCACTGGGTCCTCTGTAAGAATAGTATGTGTGCTCTTAGCCACTGAGCAATCCAAAGATATAAGAGCTTTTTTAAATGCAATAGAAGTTACTGCTTTTGAGTGATCCAAGAGCTTGAAAGTTTTTGCTGATACAGACTAGGGCAGGAGAAAGTACTTCTTTGGCTTTTTGTCATCTATATTATAATTCCGTTCTTCTAGAAAATATACTGTAGAAAAGTAACAACTAGATGGTTCTTTTCAGTAAAGGCTTAGTTAATTATAGAACACTATAAAATACCTTTTAATTATTATTTGCTTTACAGCTTTTATTTATTTTTAGTTGTTTTTTTAATTATACTTTCCAGGGCATTGTTGTTTTGGGGTTTTTTTCCAAACCTAATTTTGTTACTACTTCTTATCAAAGTGTATTGGGACTCTACAAGAATGATTCATATTCTCTAAGCTATAGAATAATACAGTTTTTAAATAGAATTGTCTCCTTGTTACCAAGTATGTAAAACTAATTATAACCCCTCCATTTTTTTAGGGATCTTGCAGCTGCTATAGATCGCATGGACAAGTACAATTTTGATTCAATGATTTACGTGGTAAGTAATCACAATAAAAACAAAAGGTTATGAACCCTACCTCATGGAAACTAGAAAGTCACAGAAATAGGAAACCAGGGCCGCAAAGATGGTTCAGTGGCTAAGGTGCTTGCCTTGTAAGACTGATATCAGTTGAGTCCTAAGACCCACGTAATGATGGAAGGAGAGAGTCAGCACTAGACCCACGTAATGATGGAAGGAGAGAGTCAGCGCTACATGATTGTCCTCCAAACTCCACAGTGAATCATGACATGAATGCCTGTGCAAGCCACACCAGCCAAAAGAAAAGGGAAGTCATGGTGGGAAATGTGGCAAAAACAATTTTGTAACTATGGAAAATAGTTAAATACTAAGTTAATTAAGATGGTGACTTCTTTTAAATTTATTTAAAAAAAACTCAAAAATCAAAAGTTTACATCGCTTCATAGTGAAAACAAATTACCAAAATCAAGAAGATGCTTGGTTATATGAAATTACTATATACAAGTTACTGTATGGCAGTTGCATTCGTCCTAGTGATAAATTTCAAAAGAATATTTTTTAATTTGTTTTGGGATAAGAGTTTGTAACCTGAAAATTTTCCCTTTTGTTTAAAATTACATAAAGGGAATGGAAAAACAGCAGGCACCCACATGTGATACCCAAACATACATGCATACAGAACATTCGTACACATAAAGTAGATATATCTTTTTAAATTTTTAAATAAAATTTAAACCAAATCAACTCATTGTATTATGTAAGTGTTAGTTGTATAAAAAGTAAAATGCTGGAATTTTTAAAAAGACCTTTCAGGACAGTAGTGGCACACTCTTTTAACCCCAGCACTCTGGGGCAGAGGCAGGCGCATCTCTGAGTTTCCGGCCAGCCTGGTCTACAGAGTGAGTTCCAGGACAGCCGGACTACACAGAGAATCCGTGTCTCAAAAAGCAAAGAAAGCAAAAGAACTTTTAAAATCTTGTAATACCTTAAGACAAGAAATTTCAGACCTGTCAACCACTCCCATCTACAGACACATGAAGTACTTTGTCAAAATCAGATCGACATTTGTAGGCACATTCTAATCTCATCAGATTTTCTGTGCATCCGGTATAGGCCGGTTTTGTGGAACTGTATCCTATGTGGAAATCTGTAGCCACCACCACATTCAGAACAGACTCCCTGATGCTTCACCACTTAATCACAGTTCTCTCCTGCCCGAGCCTTGATCTTCATTACAGATGTTGTCACTTTAGAGTGGTGGGTAAATGGCATCATATGTAACTAACTTTCTGAGACCATTTTTTCTCCCAGTTTAGTGGTTGCCTCTGAGATCCATCCCAACCATTGTTTCAGTAGTTTGATCCGTTTATTAAAGCTGACTGGTATTCCAGCCTCCTGTGGTTTTAAGATTTATCTTAATTTTTATTTATGTGTGTGAGAGAGAGGAATGAATGTGTGTATGTGAGGTGCATGTGTGCATAGGTACCCACAAACCAGCAGAGGGCATCAGATCCCCTGGAGCTGGGGTTGTAAACGGCCCAATGTGGATGCCGGGAACCAAACTTGGGTCCTCTGCAAGAGCAGCTGGTAAATACCCTTAATCACTGAGCCATTCTCCAGCCCCTAGTATGTTTATTTAAAACATTGACAATACTTTAGTCTAGTAAAACTCTAATATGAATTTTATTTAGGACCAGCCTATTTTTATTTATTAACTTGTCTTTGTTTTGTTTTATTTAAATTCCAAAAAATTTCCCCAAGGCAGACAAAGGGCAAAAACGGCATTTTCAGCAAGTGTTCCAAATACTGAAGATCATGGGATATGAATGGGCAGAAAGGTAGGATTCATGTTGTCCTTTGTTGCCTGATAAGATCACTAACACCTTATGTCAGCCAAGCCTCAGAACATAACTACATTAATTGATGTTCAATTCTCTTTTCAGGGTGTTAGTATGAAAAGACAGATTGATTTATGTCCTGATATATGTATTTATAAGATGTCTACTGTCAGTGTTTTGGTTTTTAATTATTAATATCCATTTCCTCTTCCTCAGAAAGACAACCAGTAATTTCATTACAAGCTAATGGTTATCTCAGTAAAGTGAAACTTTAGTGAATTGAAAAAAATACATCTTATTTTTTGTTTTTTTATTCACCATATTTTAGTTATACATAATGATATCTTAATACATATGTATGTTGCATTTTTACCATATTCACACTGTTCCCCTCTTCTTCTACTCCCATAGATCCCCTTCCTACTGAGTCCCCCTTTCCACTAAGTGATTGATTGATTGATTGATTGATTGATTTGCTTATGGGCCAGTGATTTATTAAGGTTGCTTAAAGAATGTGGGTAGTGTTATTGATAGAAGCATGGATGACTTTCTTGGGGCAACAGTATGGACAAAAATGTCTCTCCCTTCATTAGCAACTATTAACTGCCTTTATGTTGTCAGGGAGGGGTATAACCTCATGAGCTCCAACCCACTCTGTGAGAGAATGTTCTCTGTGTGTGCCAGTCTTGGGCAGGTTCACAGTCTGTTAATGTACTGTCCCTGCCATACGTTGAAGACATCATTCGACAACACTTTCCAACTTCCACCGACTCTTACATTCTTTCCAACACCTCTTCCACAATGTTTCCTGAACCTTGGATGGGGTCGGGGATTTAGGTGTCCCATTTAGGGCTCAGCATTCAGCAGTCACTTTGTAGTTAGACTTTGCATTAACTATTGCCCGCTGGATAAAGAAGTTTCTCTGACCAAAGCTGACAACACTTAGAAGATACTTTCATGAGTTTAATATGTCCACTTATCAAAACAACACTAGTACCTTCTTCATTAAGGCTTAAGAGCATTCAAGCTGTAAGCCTTAGCTATGTATACATTATCTAGTATGAATTCCCTTCTGTGGAGTAGGACTGAAATCCACCCAGAAAGCAGTTAGTTAGCCCTCTAACAGTTTGCCAGTGTTACACCAATGGGCACATCTTGTCTGGAAGGCCAAGAATATAGCATGCAAGGTCCACAGCTGAGTAAAATTACTGCTTAAACCTCTCCTCCCAGCCTATAGCATCTTGTGGCACCGTGAAAGCTAGCCAGCAGGGAGGACACTTGCAGCCCAGATGCAGCTTGATTTCTCAGTGTCCTGTAACTGAAGCATATTATATCTTATACTATTGGTGGAAAACCAAATAGCTCGTATTGCTTTAGGGGCTCAAGGAGCTTTCCTGACTAATAAGTCATAAGTGGCATCCACACTGGCACTGAGTTTGTTGTTAGCCAGAGCTATATAATGAGACCATGTCTTAAAAAAACAAACAGCCAGGTGGTGGTGGTACATGCCTTTAGTCCCAGCACTCAGGCAGCAGAGACAGGTGGATCTCTGTGAGTTCCAGGACAACCAGGACTATTTCACAGAAAAACCCTGTCTCAAAAAAACAAATAATAAATCAAACAAAAAGTGTGTGTGTGAATAAATATTTTAAAGTATTCATATTATAAGCCACCAAGGAAATGCAAATGAAAACTGCTTGAGATTCCATCTCACTGCAGTTGGAGTGCTGATATCAAGAATACAAATGCTAATAAGATGTGGAGAAAGGAGAAGTATCTACTGCTGTGCTGGTGGAAGTATAAACTGGTCCAACCACTGTGGAAATCAGTACGGAGCTGCCACGTGACTCAGCTAAGCCATGGCTGGGTATTTACCCAAAGGGCTCCGTACCCTACTACAGAAACCTTCATTTCCATGTTCACTGATGCTCTTTCACAACCCAAGGAAATGAAATCATTCTGGTTGTCCACCAAATAATGAAAATGGACCTGTACACAATAGGATTTTTCCACTATAAAAAAATGTGAGAATTTTTGTTTGAAATAGGGTCCCTTGCAGAAGCTAGCCTTGAACTGTATATGTAACTGAGAATGACCTTGAACTCCTAATTTTCCTGCTTCCATTTTCGAACGCTTGAATTGCTACCATGTATGCCGTTCCTGGCTACATCCTATTTATTTAGTAATTTTTTAAAACTCTTAAGGTTAAAAGTTTGTTTTCTGAAAGGGTGCTGAGATATACTCACATCATTAGCACCTTTTTAGCTTGTGGTTAATAAATGCCTATCATTTCAGGTGCCAGCATGTAGCTTTTGGAATAGTAAAGGGAATGAAGACTCGAAGAGGGGATGTCACTTTTCTGGAAGATGTCTTAAATGAGGTTCAATCGAGGATGCTACAGAACATGGCTTCCATTAAGAGTAAATCCTCTTTGCTACTTTTATGCTTTCTTGGAATTCCACTGAGCGTGATCAAAAGTAGCTTTCATTAATTTGACATGTAGTTCAGTTGTCCATTAATATAACTTTAGTCTTCTTTTCATGGACAGCTTGAATGTTCTCAGCCTATTGTCAGTCATCCTGTGATGTGCTTGCATTATTACATATGTCTGTGTGTGTACAAGTACACATATGCATACATTCATGTTGAGGCAAGAGTTCTCAGATGTTGCCCACTTTTTACAAAAAAAAAATGTACTGGCTAGGTTGTCTCATCATTAAACCTCTCTAGCACTGGGATTACAAGCACAAACTACCACTTGTTTTTTAAACAAGTTCTGGTTTTCGTACTTGGCTTCTTGTGCTTTCAAGGTGTCATGCTTTTCTGTTGCTGTGATAAGACACCATAACCAAAGTGACATATAAAAGGAAGCATTTAATGTGGGGCTGGTGGACCCAGAGGGTTGGAGTTCAGACCATCATGGTACAGAATCTGGCAGCAGGCAGGCAGACAGACACGACCAGGAACAGTAACTGCGAGCGTATATCTTGATCTACAAGCAAAAGGCAGAGCGAGCTAACTGGGGTGACATGGGCTGTTGAAACTTCCAAGCCCACTCTCAGTGACACACCTCCTCCAACAAGGCCACACCTAACCCTTTCCAAGCAGTTCCACCAACTGGGGACTAAAAATTCAAATATGAGTCTATGGGGTTCTCATTCAGAGTACCACATTGAGCTAGCACTTTGCCAGCTATCTTCCAGCCCAAGTCCTTGCATTGTAAATGATCCAAGTAATTAATGTTCATATAACTATTCTTCACCCTTAGGAAAGTAAGTATGGGCTTTATCTAATTCCTTATAAGGAATGTGTGTGTGAGTGTGTGTATACAAGTAAGTTCAAGTCTCTTCACTTTGATATGGGAAGAACTATTAGGAAGGTGAAGTACCCATTATCATCTTACTTTTTGATTGTACATTTCACATTTTTTTTAACATGCTGTTCCATTCCATTCTCAACAGTGTGGTACAGATTGGAAAATAACTGCCTTTATCTATTTCAGCAACAAAAAAAATGGAGAACCCGCAGGAGACTGCAGAGAGGGTGGGGCTTGCAGCCATCATCATCCAGGTGTGTTATGACTCCTTCTGAGACCTTGTTGTCTGGTGTGTAACAAAACCCAGGGTTAATAGTTTGCTCTCGTTTTAGGACTTCAGAGGTTTGCTCTTATCTGACTATCAGTTCAGCTGGGACCGTGTTCTCCAGAGTCGTGGGGACACTGGAGTCTTCCTACAGTATACCCATGCCCGCCTCTATAGGTGAGAAGAGGCTTCAGGGAAGCTTGGCTATCCTTCCCCAGGCTGGAACCTGCCTGGTGTGGTTGTAAGACAAGTGGCTGGCCCTGTTTTCTGGACTTTTCCAAAACGTTGTATTCAAAACTGGGTAAAAGTACAGCAGATCACTGGCATTTATCAATCACCTGTTATAAGCAATTTTTTCTATATTGCTTTACTTCATCCTCAGAATAATTCTGGTAGAGAATATCCTGTCACCTACATTTTAAGAAACACTGAAAAAGTAATTTGAGGAGAATGAGAGTTTATATCAATGTAAGTGTCAGTGTCCAGGGCTGTATTAAGGAGATCAACAATGTATATGCAAAGCTAATGTTCATCACATGTAAGGTATGGACCCTCAAAAACTGACCCTTTCACGTTTGTTTAAACTTGTGGTGACAGTTTGGAAGAGACTTTTGGATGTGGTTACCTCAATGACGTCAACGTTGCTTGTTTACAAGAGCCACAGTCTGTCTCAATTCTCCAGCATCTTCTCGGGTATGAAGTTTTTCTGTTATTACCAAATCTGACACTCAAAATTGAGAGCATTTTTGGCTGACTCCTTGAGTCATTAGTTCAGAGGCTGCCTCCAGCCTCTAGACAGGCATAGGTGAGCCCAAAAGGAACCTGTCTTTTAAGAACAAACTGGGAAGACAGGTTAAGCCGATATTCAAGGTCAATCCTAGCCTTAAAAATATTACCACAAGGCCGGGCGGTGGTGGCGCATGCCTTTATTCCCAGCACTCGGGAGGCAGAGGCAGGCGGATCTCTGTGAGTTCGAGGCCGGGCTGGACCGACAGCCTCCAAAACAATACAGAGAAACCCTGTCTCGTAAAAACCAAAAAAACAAACAAACAAAAATATTACCACAAAATTCACTGCCATAGCTGGGTGTTGGTGGCACATGCCTTTAATCCCAGCACTTAGGAGTCAGGGACAGGAGGATCTCTATGAGTTCGAGGCCAGCCTGATCTACAGAGTTCCAAGACAGCCTCCAAAACAATATAGAGAAATCCTGTCTCAAAAAAAAAAAAAAAAAACCCTGCCACAAAGGAGCAGTGCATGGTCTAAGCCAGAGACCTACAGAGGTCAAGCGCAGTGAGCATGGTCCCGGAATAAGAACATCCTCTGAGGCTGTGATAGGACTGGCTGCTGCGGAAAGCCCTGCCTCTGAGCAGTTTCAGACTGAATCCTCCAGTTTGTCTGTGGAGTCAGTTCTCAGTCTCCTATGCGTTTGTCTGATTAATACCACCACACCGTGGTCTCTGGGAGATCAGAGAACATAGACGTAGGTATGTGTCTATGGAGGCAGTTTTCTTTGATTGCCCACAGTGGCCAGCAGTTCTTTCTTCAGCTAAGAAAACTAATGTGTGAAAGAAAATAAGCTTCCCTGATCCCCTTAGGCTTGAGATCAGAGCTCACTGCCTTAATAGGCAAGGTTTTTTGGCTTTGTTTTGTTCTGTTTCTGTTTTTGCTCAGGACTAGATCTAAGAGATATAAAGCTATCAAGAATTTATATAAAAGAAAAAATGCATAATAGTGATCAAATGTATTTAGGTCTTTTTTAATAACCCACCCTGCCCACCACAGGGTTTTTCCGTGTCGCCTTGGCTGTACTGGAACTATCTCTGTAGAATAGGCTGGCCTCAAATTCACAGAGATCAACTGCCTCTGCCTCATGAGTGCTGGGATTAAAGGCGTGCACCACCACCGCCCGGCTCCATATGCTTTCTTAATACCCAAGGTATGTAACATTTTAAGGTGTCAGCTTCAGATAACAAATGACCAGCCTGTTCCTGTCATCTTTTAGGTTCGACGAGGTACTCTATAAGTCCTCTCAGGACCTCCAACCCAAGCACATCGTCAGTTACCTTTTAACACTAAGGTAATTTCTTATTCAACTGTGTGTATGTGTGCACAATTACAGGCATGAATGCTAATTTAAAGTAATGATAAACTAAGAGTTCCAATATGGTAGACACTACATTGAAGAAAACAATCATAACACTTCCCCTGAGAGTGAGGCAGAGCTTCTTTTTGTCCCTTGTCATCTGTCTGGAGCTTGAGTCACTGTACCTGTTATATGAGGCTGCCCATGTGCCTGCCTTGTTCTCTGTTGAACAGAAGAGACAACATCCCATGAGGAAGAAGTAAGAGACACTAAGAAACCTTTATCAGAGTTTTACACAGGAGGAAACTTTATTGACTCGAGCTGATCCAGAAGCACTCAGAAAAGCAAACAACTCTGTGAACATACCATCAAGCAAAATCCATATGTTGTTTCAGCTTTTAGAGTGGATATTTATTTTATAAGGCTGCTTTTGTCATTTCTACTGTTTTCAAACACACATACAGTGCTCTCTGGGTCAGGGACATGGAAGATTGCTTAACTTACATTAGCTTAGGCTGTAAAAAGTAATCTCTAGGTAATCTATTGAGCCTTGGGTAGTAGATCAGTATTTATCCCAGGTATACAAATGGACGTTGGGCTCCCATCCAACAATGAGAGATGCACTCTCACCCTGAACTCTTGGGGGAGGGTCTAGGCCCTGCTCTGGATGAAATGACAGACTATGGACATCCCCATGGAGGACCTCACCCTCCCTGAGGAAATGAGGGGATATTGGGGGGGTTGGTTGGAGGGCGCGGGAGGAGGGGAGGGAGAGGGACCTGGAATTGACATGTGAAGCAACCTTGTTTCTAATTTAAATATATATATATATATATATATATATATATATATATATATGGGAAATCCAAGACAAATAAAGGTTGGTTGTCAAATTGTTAAACAGGTTAAACAGGCTAAATCCATGCCTAGTATCCACCTAGGCTCTAAGTGACCTCCAGGTATATTAACCCAGCTATAAAGTCTAGCCAAAGTTCAGTCTCTTTGAATGTAAGAGATAGTTTCATAAAAATGGTATCGCCACATGTGTCTGCTGCCTTCAGAGGCCATCAGATCCTCAAAAGAAGTTGGAGTTACAGGCAATAGTGTTCTGCCTGACATGAGTGCTGGAAATGAAACTCGGGCCCTCTGGAAGAGCAGCATGCACTCTTAACTGCTGAACCATCTCTCCAGCCCCCTGTATTTCTCTCTTTGATCCTGAGGTTTCTTACAAGTAAATCCCTTGTCCTAAAGTTTGCTTTTTCCTTTAAGTTATAGGAATTGTTACGTCTTCTCTGACAATGAGATTTCACTGTATTTATTTGGTGATTAAAAGGTAGAATCATAGGAATTGACAAGGGCAAGGGTAGTTATAACGTGTATTTCCAAAGTGGACATATGAGATGCTGTTCACCCAGCTCAGCTTTGAGGGAGTGGGCTTCTCGGGAGGAAGCAGCAGGTGGTGATCAGGAAGTAGCTGGGAAGGGGGAAAGGTCCAGAAGTGAGCAAGTACAACTATAATGGCTAAACGGTTAAGAATTGATGAGTCGGGCCTTGACTTAGAGAGTTTTCAGGGTAGCTGGGTCCATATTGTTTTAAGCAGAGAAACACACAGAAAAAATCAATTATAACTAAGGGAACAAATGAATTAGGAAGCAAATCAATGATAGTGGTTGAAATGTATGGTAATTTAAACGCTGTTATTCACTATTTCCTGAAATAAGAGAACACTGCAACTTTTTCTAGTATGAGAAAGGGTCTCACTGGGTAGCCCAGGCTAACCTGGTACTCTTAATCATCCTGTTTCTGGTCCCTGAGTACTACAGCTCCCATAGTTTTAAATAAGTGTGTTGTGGTTTCTGTTTTCCTACTTATATATAAAGGCAAAGCCAAAAACTCTAGTGCAATGTGATTTAAAATAATTAAATGATTATTATGTGTATTTCATAACCCATTGCAGCTATACCTTAACAGAAAAAGTACTTCAGAAAGTGTCCTGTGTGTGTGTGTGTGTGTGTGTGTGTATCCCACTCAAGTGACATAGGGAACAAGGGTACACCTTGTTATCCTTTTAAAAGTTGTCTGCATAAGGAAATACTTGTTAGAAGGCAAGCCCTACTTCTGTAAAACAGTGAAATCAAAAATCTCAAAAACTAAAAGTTTAGTGTTTTACTTAATTACAGACAAGCAAAAATGCATTTATTTCAACTTTTATAACTTCAGATAGCTTCTTTAGTGATTCTAGGCTTTTCCTTAAAGTTAAATGGAACAGGAAATTATTATTGGTCTTCATTATGATTTCTCTTACTTTTTTCCAGTCACCTTGCAGCTAAGGCACATAAAACACTCCAAGTAAAGGACAGTCCTGCTGATGTGGCCGCGGTATGTTACATTGAATGCCCTCTATATTACCCCCTTGGCAGCTGAAATATTAGAAAGTATTAGTCTTAGGAACTTTTCTGAAATATCTTTTTTAACTACAGTAGTATACTTTGGACTTAGGTAATAAATATAATTGGGCTGTAGCAATCCGTTTAAATAATAGACCATCAAATGTATCTTCATCAGGTGTTCAAGTGACAAATTCTGGCACTCCACTGTACACCCTTTCTATGGTGTTCTTTTTGTCAGGGATGCTAGGATTCATTTCTCCTTGCCTACAGTATGCAAAGGACTATCAAGCAGAACTCCTACTTTAAATTGGAATTATTTCTAAAACCTTTTTTTTGCTTCTTGCTAACATAGCATTTAATTATTCTTCATTTTGTAGGCTAGACTTCATCTTTTCAGTGCTATCCGTTGTGTCCTAGCCAATGGAATGAAGCTTCTTGGAATTACACCTGTATGTAGAATGTAATATGTAATTTTTAATTAAAGTATGTTTTTTAATATCAAACAAGTTCTAGTTGTTATCAGAAGGCTTGCTGTTCAGAATAGAATTTAAAGTATTATTCCATTCAAGAATTATATATAATTGTTTAGGGGGAAGGTTGTTTCCAGATAGGGTTTCCCTGAGTAATTACAGTGGCTGTCCTGGAACTCATTCTGTAGACCAGGCTGGCCTCAAACTCAAAGAGATCCACCTGCCTCTGCCTCCTGAGTGCTGGGATTAAAGGCATGCACCACTACCTGACCAGAACATATATTTTTATACAGTGACATTAACTTATTTCATCTTTACTCTTAAAAAATGTGTATTCACTTATGGTCAATAGTGTAACAGACTAAGTTGAGTGCTTTGTTTTTTAAATTTCAAACCTTGTGATATAGTTGTGTGTGTTACAAGAAACTGAGGCTGGAACCTAGTGTACACTAGGGAAGGGGTCTATCACTAAGCTGTGTCTGTATCTTTCTTTTTACTTTTTATATTGAAGTAGAATCTCATGTAAATTGCTCAGGTTGACTTTGAACTCTTAACCTAAGCAGGCCTTGAATTTGGCTTCGCTCAGCTAGAGTTAGAAGCCTGCACATTTAGGCCCCAACAAAAACTTTTTTTTTAACTTGTTGTTGTTTGGGGTGGGGGTGGGGTTCACTTCAAAGGTAGACGACAACTTTTAGAAGTTCTTTCCTTATATTGTGGGTTCCAGGTCTCAAACTTACAGTGTCAGGCTCAGACTTATTTATACACATAAGCACCTTTATCCCCTGAGCCATCTTGCTGGCTCTATTTTTTTTTAATGTAATATTAGGCAAGGTCTGTGTAGCCCCAGCTGGACTGGAACTCGCTATGTAGACCAGCCTGACTTGAACTCTGAAATATGCCTTGTGAGTGCTGAGATTAACAGAAAAAAATGTTTTTTTAATTCTTCTCATATACATCCCAACCACAGTTTCCCCTCCCTCACCTCCACTCCCTCCATTCTCTGTCCCCCATCTTCCCTGTTCCCCAAATCCACACCCCTCCCACCCCCTCAGAAAACAGCAGGCCTCTCAGGAGCGTCAACCAAACCCAACATAACAAGGTGTAACGGGGCTGGGTACATACATCACGTCAAGGCTGGATGAGGCAACCCAGCAGGAGGAAAAGGGTTCCACAAGCAGGCGGAGTCAGGACAGCCCACTCCCACTGTGAGGAGTCCCACAAGAACACCAAAGCCACAACACATGTGCAAAGGACCTAGGTCAGACCCCTACAGGCTCCAAAATGGCCCACGGAATCATCTGACTGGGACATAGGGGCTTTAGAATTCTTTTTTTTTTTTTTTTTAAGATTTTGCTTATTTAATATACAGTATTCTGCCAGAATGTCTGCCTGCAGGCCAGAAGAGGGCCCCAGATCTTATTACAGATGGTTGTGAGTCACCGTATGCTTTCTGGGAATTGAACTCAGGACCTCTGCAGCCAGAGCTTTTAAGCACTGAGTCATCGCTCCAGTCCAAAATTATTCTTATAACTGAAATACCCTCCTGTTTTCATCAAATAAGTGGTGAAGGGTGGCCCCATTTTACTTAAATTGTAGCTAGTTCCTGGAACAAATCCGGGGGAAATGTGAAGCAAGCATCTCATTGGCAGAGAGGGGCACCTCTCTCAGTGAGAACTTCTCTCTGGTTTACCTTTAGCTGAAATGTACTGGTAACAAACTGTGAAGTTAGGAACATATCCATTTAAACAGCAAGAATTCAGATTTTTTTGTGGGCCAGTATTAGAGCATAATTTGAGATGAGTTTTGGCTTTCAAGTATCTACATACAGACAAGGTAGTTTGTCTGACTTGATTCAATATGAGCTTAATTTAGGTAGCAGTAAGTACCTAACTGAGTATCAAACAGTTACGTTTGATAACCATCACCATCTTCTGCCAGCACTTCTATTTGGCCTGCTACATTTAATCTAAATGTTATATAATCACAATTCTAAGTTATTTGCTAATTTTCTTCTTACAGTAGCATTCAACTTCCTATAGCAAACTAACGATGGAATGAACATGTACATGTTTTACCTATCTACTCTTCCTCTCCACTTCTTTGGAAAGACTTTCTCCTCAGACCACTTGAGTAAAAATATACGGGAACTAAGCCTTCAAAATCACAGTTCTTTGAAAAGACTTAATTATGCTGTAATCCTACCCAGAAATTCTTTTTTTGCTCAAGGCTTATTAAGAATTAGATTATAGCTATTATTTGCAAACAAAACCCTTATTTGTTAAAATTTCATACATAGAAAAAAGTCACGTTAATGTTTTTACATTATCATAATGGCCATATCCATTGAACAAATTGACTACACGAGTGATATAAATAAGTTTATTGCTGGCTTTCCCCATTAACATTATAGAAATATTTTAAAACCACTGAAAGTTCACAAATTGAAAGCCCAACAGGTAACCATACCTTATAAAAAAGAAAGTATAAAAGCGACTTAGAAAATTTTCTGAAAAGTATATCAGCTAACAGCAAAGAAATATGAACCAGACAGTAAATGGCACAAATACAGCACTGAGTTCTCCGTCATTGCCCAGACAGAAGTCAGTGTCTGAGCCATGAAATGGGTTCTGTTTTACAAGTTACACACTAGTTTGTTCTGAACTGCCTTATCTTATTCATTCTTCACTTTGATGAAAGCAGCTAGGTTTTTCACTACTACAGGGACAAAGTACTATCCATGAACTGGACAAGGAAGGCTCACCTTCCCCTCCTGGCACCTGAACAGAATAGTGTGTACAGAAATGGCTTTGGCACTTTAACCTTCAGACACCGTCCTAAACCTTGTTGACTGAATATTGTAGTTTCACCTGATGTTCTGACCCTGTGTTGTCACCCCAATGCCCTGTGTACAGGAGACCCACACACACTCGTCTTGATACAATGTCAACTCCATGCTCTGTGTACACAGTATACATACACACATGCACGTGCACACACTCTGTAGTAAAGTCCTTCATTCTGAAATGATACAGCTTGACACCAAACACTCTCAAATTAAATCTGTTTAAGCAATTGACTCATACAGTTTTCTTCTTGATTCTTATGCCATACAGTAAATTTGTTGATATTGTTTAAGCTACCATCTGGGGTTGACTTAAGGCTCTAATAATTATTGACAGTTTAGTCATTATAGGATTATCTTAAGATTCAAATCACACACCAATGATTCTTTCTTTTGAAGTTGCTTCTTGTTGAATGGATGTAGTGTCTTGCCTGGGTAACCCATAGAGATATATGGAAACACATACAAGAAGAGCTCCCATTGCAAAGGAAAGTGCTGAAGAGAGAGGAAAAAAAAACAAATGATGAATTTTAAAAAGCATTTTTATGTATGTATGTATGTGTTCATGTGTGTACAGTTCATGTGTATACATACAGGAGCCAAAGACAACCCTGGGCATCAACTTTTGGAATGTATCCATCTATTTTTAGGCAGGGTCTCTCATTTCCTTGGAGCCCACCAATTAGGTTAGACTGGATAGTTAACAAATCCCAGGGATTCCCATCTCCACCTCCCCGGTGCTAGAACTGCAGGCACTTTGTCAGTAAGCCACGTCCCCAGTCCTAAAATCTTTTTAACTATAGGTTGCACTACCAGGTCACATTCGTGTTATTTTATGAGAGGTTGTCTATTCTAAGCAAAAAAGAAACAGGAGGAAAAGATAAATATCAAAGGAGTAATAACACTTTCCAAAATTGTAAATAAGCCTGTCTTAGACTGCTCCAACAATGGGACACACTAGTTTTCCTAAAGTAAGTAAATGTAATATAAATATATACATGAATAGAAAAAGAAAATGTGGTGTGATATGGCTTACTTGTGATCCCAGAAAGCCTAGTATAAAAGACAGTTATACAAAATTCAGCTTTCAAAAACCAGTGATTCAAACCACTGAAAATTTCTGGATAGGTGACAAGGTGATTATTACGCTTCCTGTTCCACTTGCTTTTTTCAAGTTACTCCTGAAAACTAGGATATACAAAACTTGTATGAGGACTTAAGTGCCTGATGCACAAGCCTGAAAACCTGAATCTCCAGCACTCACACAAACACTGGCACATCTGTAGCCTTATGCTATTGGGGAGGGGGGGCACAGGGACAGGACAGAGACAGATTGCTCCTGGGAGCTCTCTGCTCAGTTAGTCTAGCCAAAAGAGAGTGGACCTGTCTCTAAAATAAGGACAGCAACTGACCAAGACATCCAGCATTGACTCACATGGACCCACAGACCAAAGAGAAAAATAAAAAACAAAAACTATAATAATAAAACCCTTCTATAAATTTCACATGTAGGCATTATGTAAATAAATGCTAATGTCAAAACTGTATACTTAAAACTGAACCATAATCTATACATATTAACTGTACTACTTGATGGCTCAGTATTAATAGCTTTAAAAATTGGCATGTAGGTAGCTAGGCATGGTGGTACATGCCTGGAATTCCAAGACACAAGGTTCAGGAGTTCAAGGTTACTGGCTTTGTAGTAAGTCTAAAGCCAGTCTGAGCTACATGAGGTAGCCCCCACCCCCTAAAGGGAATGTAAAGAAATAGCACCAAGCTTCAGTTTTAGTTCACCTACAGTAAAGACCAGCTTTGAATATTAAGATAGTTTATATCTTAATATCTTAATAGTTAAGCTGAAAGACTCCTAAGACAGACGTATTTTATACTGTTACCAAGTTTTTCTCAGTAGCAAAGACACAGGATTATGTTAAATATATGGATGGACTAGAACTCCAATTAGTATTTTACCCAAATCAGGTGACAAGGCCATCTAAAGAGCTGTGGTAGGACTTGCACAACTTCCCTGTTACTTGCTAGAGACTGTTCTGAGCAAATCACCTGACAAACCCAGGAGACAAATGACATTATTTACACTTGGCAGAGAAAGTACGAGACACAGTTATACAATTTC